CCCTGGCCACCGTGCTTCCTGACCCACAGCCACCTTCTTTCTGACCTTGACTTCGGATATGGAGGAGGACATGGATGACCACCCGCTGGCTAACATGCCACAGGAAATTCCGATGGCTTTGGACGCCATAATCAAACAGCCCATCACGGAGCATGAGGCTCCGCCTGCCATTTTGGCCCGCCTGGCTGCCATCGGTAAGACAAGTTTTGATTCAGTCGGGGCCTATTGAGCCCCAAGCACACATGTAGTGTGCGCCTACAGTGCCCAATCAGGGCTTTCCGGCGTGCTCATAGCCTGACAACAAACCTGTGATCGTAGGCGCTACCGTTAATATGGGCCGTCTGTCCTCAGTGGTGCTTCCTTCGGCTTTGGCGGTGCTGGTGCACGCTTTGCGTGCCATCGAGGGCCCGGCCTGGGAGGCAACGGCCGAGGCCATTCATGCTCGGGCCAAGGAGACGCCCGATGATCCGCAAGCAATCGCTCACGTAAGCTGCTGCTGGCTATCCAAGCCGTGGTCATCGGCCATGGTACTTGCAAGCTGACTCGATACTCCGTATACGCTCCTCCCTTTGATCCGATAGCAACGCGTGGAAACAACATGCTCCCGTCTCCGAGTTCAAGCACTTGCGCTTGAGATCTTGGCCAATTTGGTGATGAGCGAGCTTGAGGCTGCCCAGCATCTGACCTTGGAGCTTCTCCAAAACAATTTGCTCAATGCCGTGCGTTCGGCCAACTGTCTCCGTGCATGCCTTGCATTGTGCCGTACCATCGGATGCGTGCGCATTCACTGTCACGGTGCTTTGTGGTTGCCTGGATTGGTCCCTCCAGCTGGCTTTGTTGGTGTGTCCACTCACACGCGAGCAACTCGAAGCGCTTCGTGCAGTCCATCCAAGTGGAAACCAGCTTCAGGCGTGTGTGAGTAGACGGCACACGCTTCTCTTCCCGACCAAATTATTGTTATTTTTATTATAATTATTATTTTTTTTTTTCTCGCGCGTGCCCGCAATCATTGCCACCGCTAGCTCACCCTTATCACGGCCTCTCTCCGGTTGATGCGCGCTCATGTGTAGATTCATAGTCAGGACGAGACTTGGCTCGGTGCCATTGCCAACCTTGGATTTGGTGGCATGTTGAGTGATGTCACTTCCGACACACTTCAGCGTATGTTCTATCGCGTTATTCCGTTTCATGCACCCAAACAAACACTCAACCTTTCAAACACGTCTTAGTGCTCTCTCAAGGCTGCTTTCATATCATGCATCGCTGGCCATGGGCCTCCATGTCAGCGGTAAGGCCACTTACCTCCCCGACCTGGCATGCGTCATTTATCTCATACGCTCGACCGGTCGTCTTAAGTTGCGTAATGATCTTATCTCCTTCAATCTGATTCTGTTTCCTTTTGATGTTTTAGACTCTCTTACCAACTCTCTGGACGGTGCTGCGCGCCGTTCTATCCGATGAAGCGTTGGCCTGCAATTTGGTACGTTGCTACCCATTTGGCTCTTGCCTTATTTGCCGGTCTTGTGCCTGCGAATAAACTGGCATTGGGGTATGGGAAAGCCTGCGACGCATTATCCTGTGCACATTAACCAATCATGGGCGCGGTACTCTGTAGAGCTTTGCAAATGAAGATCTGCGCAACATTATTGAGGTTTATCGCGCACGTTGAATTGACCTACATCTTTCACAATAACTGAGTCACGTGACCCATTGGTTCATCGTGTTGGGCTACCTGACTAATGATCTGTAGGCGTTTTCCAATGGCCACCTGGACTGGCACACCCGCATCTCAGCCAGTGGCGTTCTCACAGCTCTGGCTCAATGCAGCCACCACCATGACCTTTTAGTACGTGCCGCACTCCTGTGCCCCAATTTTTGTCGAGCCTTGTTGAAGGGAGCTGACCATGCCCCTAATTCCTTTACACGCCTTTGCCGCTGTCCAGCCGGAACTATGTGGCTTGTATACGGTTGAATTGGCCACTGTTTCTGTGGAGCGCCTCGAATTTTTGCATGCCATCTTTTCTGGATTGTGTGAGGCCTTTGCCGACACCCGTGCCAACGAACTGGTATGTTGCATGTCCCGTAACTCTGAAATTCAGCCTTTCTCTGCAGGACCAGGCGGGCTTAAAAAGTGCTAATGGGGACCACTCGTGTGTCTGGACTGGACGTGCATCGGCCCTGCAGGTGGCAAGCACAGGCTTGATGAGTGTCATGCACAAGTGTGTTGAGCAGCTGCGTGCGATGGTATGTGCATCGCTTGGGTTTGAAAAACGATGTGTTTAAGAGGCAGACATGGATTAACGGCGTGTGCGGCTGGTTGCCGGCATGATCTGGTTTGTAGGAGCGTGGTGCATCACCTGAGGCTGCTGAGGGCATTGAGGCATGTTGTAATTTGGCACAACAATTTTCCGAGCTCAAGAGTCAGCAATAGAGTGATTAGAGAACAGCGATTCCTCTCATGTCGGCAGCAGAACGTGTAATTGAGTCAATGGAAATTGCCGATTGTAACTTGTTGTTCTATTTTTCTTCGCGCCCTCCTACCCTCTTTATTTTTTTTTTTTTCTGTGCAAAGGCGATGCTTTGCAGGGGGATCCCCAGCCAAGGTCTTGGGCAAGATTCGGTCATCGAGACAAGTTTTGAGTTGATTGTCAGTTCATTTTTCTATCATCATTACCAGTCGATGACTTTTTTTTTTTTTTTCGGTGCTGGAATCAAGAGATTTTAAATGTTGTAGTGGCTGTGTCCTGGAAGAAGGCGAGCCTGCGTAGAGAGAGGGGAAAAGATCTTGCCTCTTCCAAATGCATTGGTTGCGGGCGCGCTCGGCACGCGGCAACCAAGGAGTAACAAGTCTGAAAAGGGTTGAGGCATAGATCGTCCTGCAGACCTCCACCTTGCCCTTTCCCGATTTCGGCCTATTTTCCAGGGAAGCAGGCCAGAATGCAAGGAGGGGCAAAAGGTGCTTTTGTGTTTTGCTGGTGCTCAGGAAGACCTTGATTAAAACATGCGGTCAACCACGAGCTCAGACACGCGCCAATCCTGGAATACATGGACAAGAGTGAGTCACTCAAGTGCGCAAGGGGCTGAGAAGAGTGGCGGGCCTGTTTGGCGATACAATTGCTACCTCATAGCTGGGATTGGTGGGGCTATGGTCAGGCAGGTAGCGGCGAATGATCATGGGGATCTTGCCCTCTTGAAGCTCGTTTTGTGCAATCTTGAGAGGGTCAGTTTCACCGCGCAATTCCACCATCACGGGGGCATTCATACTGCGTACATGAGCAGCCGAGAATGCATACATCAGTGAGCGGCGTTGAATCACAGGCGTCGAATCACAGGTATTCTGCAGATGGCGGCTGATCATTTTGAAATGACAAACCAAAACCAACTAGGGTACGCAATTTGCAATACCTGATTTGCAGCGCACGGGCCCCCAAGACACGAGCGCGCTCGTACTTGGTCATGTACCGGCTCGTAATCTATCCCAAATGACAAGAGCGGAGTGAGCGGAGTGAGCCGAAGAATTAACAATAAAGAGCATTCAAGGCGCCTCGTAGAAGGTCTCAGACATATGGCATTTGGAGCGTCCACTCACACGAGGCTTCTCCGAGGCGCCATCGGCGTTGTCCTGTGCTGAGGCTGCGCCGTTGCAGGGCGTAGGAGCGAGCACATGAGCAAGGATAGAAGAGCACAGCTTGGGATGGTTCCATGGCCAAGCCCTATGACCTACCATCAATGACCTCAATGTTGTTGCCGTCATCCATTGCCGTGTCCATGCTGCCGGGTGTGAGTTGCTCAGTCGATCAGCTCCGTTCGGGTCGATCGCTCGTTCGCTCAGAAAAAAGCAAGACAACCCACCACGCTCTGAGATAGTGTAAATTAAAACACACTTGGGTCTCTCACTTTGCCGATATGACTATCAGCAAGTAGCAATTTATCAGATGAAATGTATTCAGAATCTGACACTGCTCTTGGTCATCTGCTCTGCTTTGTTGATGTTTTCTCTCTCTCTCTCTCTCTCTCTCTCTCTCTCTCTCTCTCTCTCTCTCTCTCTCTCTCTCTCTCTCTCTCTCTCTCTCTCTCTCTCTCTCTCTCTCTCACATTTTCTCGAGTGTTCACTGAGCTGGAAAGATGGCAGCGCTCAAGATGATGCTGCTGATGGCAGTGGCGGCCTTTGGGGCGGTGGCGCTCGCTGATCGTCCGTGGATGCAGGATCCAAAGGTGCGGGGCTGAGGAGAAGGACGAAATGGGTTCTGTTTGAAGCGTATCGACGTGCGATCGGCTTTTGCTCACATGCTGCCAACGTGGCTGGCCGCTGCCAAGCAGGCCGATCCCGAACAGCGGGCCCAAGCTTTGCTGGATCAGATGACCCTGGATGAGAAGATCTTGATGCTGCACGGTAGCAGTGGCCCCTATGTGGGCAACGTGCCGGCCAACACTCGCCTTGGCATTCCCGCCCTCAACCTCAATGACGGTGAGATCATTGGCCATTCAAACCGCTCGCGCTCAGTGGCCAATGCATGCGATCGTCCCTTGGTCGTGGTGTTATCTCTCCCAAAAGCGTTTTTGTGGCTCATCTCTTCCCTCTCTTGCTCCTCCGCGCAGGTCCTCAGGGCTTCCGCCCCGCCACGGACCTGGCTGGCACCTCGACCGCCTTCCCCTCGGGTCTCACCGTGGCGGCCACCTGGGATAAGAACCTGACATACGCCTGGGGTGCGGCCATGGGTACTGAGTTCTGGAACAAGGTGAGCACACTGCCACGCATCTTCCTTTGAATGATTGGCGGGGAGACGGCGTTGGTGTTCTGGCTTCTGGCCTTCCTTTGCAGCTGCAAGGACTGCAAGATTTCGAGGTCTCTGATCCACTTCAAATGTTGTAGGGCTCAAATGTTCAGCTCGGTCCGGGCGTTTGTGTCGCCCGCGTGCCCGTCAACGGCCGCAACTTTGAGTACGTGCAAGCAGCTCATCTGCTGCTCTGTGTCTTTTAGTGGACTCAGCGCGCTCATCGATTCTTGCTTGTGATCGGCTAGGTATGCCTCAGGCGAGGACCCCTTCCTTGGTTACACCATCGTCCAGCCGGCCATCAAGGGCATCCAGGACCAAGGCGTCATTGCCAATGTGAAGCATTACGTCCAAAATAACCAGGTACCAGACTTGTCCCCCTCGCCTTCGTGAAATCAGGTACGCTTCTTGGGCTCACACAACCACTGCTTTGTGCTCTGGTGCCATCAAGGAAACCAACCGCCAAACCGTGAGCGAGAACGTGGACGAGCGTACGCGCTTTGAAATCTACTACCCACCCTTTGAGGGTGCGTTTGAGGCTGGGTAAGCTGCGCCACTTGCACCGCTTTACAGTGCCAATCATTTGTGGACCCTCCAATCTCCCAACCGTCTTCTGACATCATGCTTTTTCCATCTCGGTTGCAACTCATCGTGTTTTGGCTTTGTTGGGATGCCCATGTTTTCTGTGCCATGCTTGCCACGGGTCGCGCTTGGGTGTGCAGTGTGGGCTCGCTCATGTGCAGCTACAACAAGATCAATGGCTACTGGAGCTGTGAGAACAACCAAACGCTTGGCACTGATCTCCGCGTCCACCTTCTCAAGGGCCAGCGTCTTTGGGTCATGAGGTTGGTCGCAGGATGATGCTCTCAAACTCTCAAAGCCGGCTGGCTGCCCCAGAGGTCCTCAAATATGGGTGTGTACTCAACAGCTTGTTGTTGTGTTGCCACGGTGACGCAGCGATTGGGGTGCCACGCACTCTACTTCCATCATGCAGGGGTTGGACCAGGAGATGCCGGGTGGCAATTTTATGGGTGACACTCTGAAGAGCATGGTGGTCAATGCCAGCATCCCCGAGTCGGCCGTCAACCAGTCCATCCTTAACATTCTGGTGCCCATGTTTAGCGTGGGGCTCTTTGATCGCCCCAACAACAACAGCATCACTGCCAACGTGACCTCGGATGCCCACAACGCCGTGGCCCGGGAGCTGTCTGCGGCTTCACACGTCCTCTTGAAGAACGAGGGCGACTTGCTTCCCCTCGATCGCTCTTCGGTCAAGACCATTGCCGTCATTGGCGCCCAGGCTGCCACCAACACAATTGTGCACGGTGGTGGTTCCGGCCAGGTATACCCCCCCTACGTCATCACACCCCTGGGTGGGCTCATGCAGGCGCTGGGGATCAGCGGTCCCAAGAAGGTGCCTTGTGATCAGGGCCAGCGCTTCAACAACACTGACTTTTACCAGCCCAACAACCCCTCAGTGGCGGCGAGCGACGCCGATGACTGCTGCGCCAAGTGCTCGGCCAGCGCTTCGTGCCTTGTCTGGTCGTTTGCCAAGTCCTCATCGACCTGCTACTTCAAGCAGCACACCTCCACCCCGAGCAATGACAACAATGTGGACTCTGGTGTGTTGTCGTCCGCAGGCCTCAACGGACCCTTTTGCAACGACCAACAGCAATGCATCTACTACAGCGATGGATCCAACCTCACCGAGGCCGCCGAACTGGCGGCCAAGGCTGATGTCGCGCTCGTTGCTGTGGCGACCACCTCGTCCGAAGGCTCGGACCGCGCAGACCTCTCCCTCGGTAACGGTCAGGACGAACTGGTGACCATGGTGGCCGCGCACCAGAGCAACACCATTGTCCACATCACCTGCCCAGGTGCCGTGCTCACGCCTTGGCGCGAGGACGTCAAGTCTATTTTCGTGAGCTTTATGGGTGGCCAAGAGCTTGGTAACGCCATGGCTGACGTTATCTTTGGTGAAGTCAACCCCTCGGGCCGCCTGCCCCTCACCTTTCCCAACGTCGAGAACGAGATTGGCATGACGACTCGCCAGTACCCAGGCCTTGACAATGGCCTCGAAGCCTACTACGACGAAGCCCTGCTGGTCGGTTACCGCTGGTACGACCACCATGCCATTACCCCGGCCTTCCCTTTTGGCCATGGTCTCAGCTACACCTCCTTCGAGTACAGCGACATCCAGGCCTCGAAGACTTCCGTCTCCGTGACCGTTACCAACACGGGTTCAAAGGCTGGCGCTGAGGTGGCACAGCTGTACCTCGGTTTTCCTTCCAGCGCTGGTGAGCCGCCGCGCCAATTGAAGGGCTTTGAAAAGGTCGTCCTTGCTCCTGGTGCCAAAACCACCGTGACCTTTGACCTGCGCCCCCGTGATCTCTCGATTTGGGATGTCAAGCAACACGCTTGGAGCCCCGTTTCTGGCACCTTTGAGGTTGCCGTGGGTGCGTCCTCCCGGGATATCCGCCAGACGTCGAGCTTTGACAACTAAATTTGGTGTTGACCGCTGTCATGGCCGGCAAGCGTACCTCCAGGCCTGACGGTCTGGCTAACCCGTTTCTGCTTTACAAGTGGCGGAATCACGCCTCGACCTCTGTCGTCGACCAACCAATTGAATCTTAACTCATTCAAATGCGCATTCATGCGTTCCATCCAAAAAAACAAAAAAAAAAAAATGAAAGTTTGTTTTTTCCTTTTTCTTTGATTCTTTGAAACGAGCAACCAAGTCATTATGGCAGCTCCAACCGCCAATGACGAGGCGGCAGCGTAAGTCAGAGCGAGGGATAAGCCCTGTGTGTGTGCGCGCGCGCGTGTGTGTGTGTGTGTGTGTGTGTGTGTGTGTGTGTATGTGCTGTCAGGTCGGTTTGCTCACGGCTCCTCTTGCCGTGGGACAGGAAGCGCCCCAAAATTCAGCCGAGCCGGTTTTTTGCTGGACATGCCGAGCGCCGGGGTGCCCGAGAGGCCATCGAAGATGTCTGCGTCGTGCAAGTATGTGGCGCTGCTCTGATGTGCAGCGTTCAGCACTTTCCTATCGCCAGATCGTTTCAAGCCCAGCCCTCCTGCTCATGCTTGCTTCATTGCCATTCCCACACGTTCGGCGCTGGGGTCCCACGTTCACGCTTCCCCTTCAGGAGCAGCTAGATCTGCAACGACAGGCCTGTGCACGAATATCGTCGGCTGCTTATTTTGCCTGCTTTGATGGGCATGCAGGTACCTCGGCCTTGCATCTTGTTCTTCTCCAAGACGATGGGCTGGCTGGCTCTGCAAATAACGCAAACCCGTCTGCGCATGCCGGCACTCATGGCTGTGGCTGATGATTGACTTGTGGGCGCCTTTCACGACGATGGTGGGGCATGACCATCACTGGTGGGCGTGCTCCTCTTGTGGCCACGGTGGTTCCACTCTGTTCCCTGGGCTGCCATTGGCTTTGACCACTCGCGACACTGCAGGACGACGAGCTGCCGATCATTGTGCGGAGCACATGCTGCCGCATATTCTTGCACATTTGCCATCGTTGTCTGATTTTGGTTCCAAGGAGTGCGCAACCAAGATACGCAAAAGCCTTGGACAAGCCTTTGCAGCCGAGGATCGTGAGGTTAGCCCAACGTATCGCTCGGGCGGAGGCTAGCCCGGCAGCTGATCTGCTATCTGCAGGCATGCTGTTCGGGGCGTTGATCACTCGCTCCTGAATGCCTTTCTGGTAGTTTTGCTCACTCCGTCAATCTGTCCGGGGCTGCCCAGTTTTTGGCGCTGGCCCGGGCTGGCCAGCCTCAGTGGAAGGATGGGTGCACAGCAACAGTGTGCCTGGCTCTCAACGATGTTCTGTTCACTGCCAATGTGGGAGATGCGAAAGCTATACTCGTGCGTTATAAGGAAGCGCCAACCGTGGCCGACACTGAATCGGTGTTGCCGATGTTGGTCGACCAGGACATTGCGACACTAGTCCTGACCAAGGACCACAATCCCGTGGTGTACGAGGAGCGCCAACGCATTCAAAAGGCTGGGGGTAGCGTGACGGACAATCGTGTGCAAGGCGTCCTGGGCGTCTCGCGTTCAATTGGCGACGGCCGCTACAAGCATCTCGGGGTCAGCAGCCAGCCGTTTACGAGCAAGTGCACATTGGACCCCAACAAGGATCTCTTTCTCGTGCTGGCTTGCGATGGCTTGTGGGGAACCCTATCAGCCTCTGATGTGATTCAATTCTGCATGAAGGCCTTTGGTGAAGCAGAGCAGGACGACCAGTTGGCTGGCCAACCCAAACTGCAGGCAACACATGTGGCCGCTCGATTGGCCAATCATGCTGTGGAGAAGGGTGCCTCGGACAATGTTTCAGTGCTCTTGGTGCGCTTTGCAACCAAGCCCTAACTTGCCACAGCTGATTGCTCATAACAACACAAAACAACAAGTGCCCCCCGATTCTTCCGAGTTGAATTGATATACCAGTCATGTGCGCTGTAAACTCTCCCGCGAGATGTTGAGACCACCTGCAAGACACACATGAGGTACTGTACACAATATGGTATGGTAACCTTTTCTTTGTAATGCAAAGCACGCATCTGGGACAGCAAAAATGGCACGGCCGTTGTTGCCAGCCCTGTGACATTGGCAGTTTTCTCAAGCGTCTGGCGTATGTTTGCGCCAATCACCAGCCACGTAGTCGGAGCGGAGCCCGGGGCTCGGGGCGGATCCTTGCACCGAGATATCCTGGGACAACTCATGCTCAAAGGCGGCCTCAAGTGCAGCGTTGGTGCCACGACACGCCTCGAGGATTTCCGAAGCAAAGCCAAAGTAGGCATGGGCGCGGTGTTGATCCCAGCTGGCGGGCGGCGTGCCTTGCACGGAGCGCAGGTTATGGAGCTTGTCTGCCAACTTGATGAGTTTGGCACCACGAGAGGCCGTGCGAGCATGTTCAATCTCAGCTGCCTTGCGTTCATGACGAGTACAGCTCTTGTCGTCCGAGACCTCTTGAACATAGCCGGCCACTTGATCACCGAAGGCAGCACGAATGTCAGCCAAGGTCACACTGGTATCCTCGACGACGTCATGCCTGTTGACATATCAAAGAAGTCATCTGAGTGGCGTTGAGAACTGAGCAGCAATGTACGAGCAGGCGACCCGGCGATTGAGGCGTACAGAAGAGCGGCTTGCAGAATGGCCAAGTCGGTGATGCCGGCAATCTCGGTCAAAAACTCGGCCACCTCTGTAAGCGTTGATGAGGAGGTTGTGAGCCAACAAGCACGCCCAACCGCACAAAGAAGAAAACAAAGCACCTACGAATAGGGTGGTTGACATAGGGCGTTCCATCCCCTTTCCGTGTCTGCTTTCCATGCGCTCGACCAGCAAAGGCCGCAGCCTTGAGCAAACCCCCAGCCAACCCCAGCGCCGATCCCTCCTCCGCCATCTCGATTCTGTGTGTGTGTGTGTGTGTGTGTGTGTGTGTAACTGCTTTTGACATTTGCTTTTGACGGTGAACACACGCACACACACACACACACACACACACACACACACACACACACACACACACAACACACAGATCTCCTCTCTCGCTCTCTCTCTCTCTCTCTCATCTGGTGGACGGTCATGGGCAAAGGCATGGGGGTGAAGGGGGCTTGATGGGGTAGAGGACAGGGCGTGGTGATTTGTGCAAGGGGGTGGTATTACTCAGGCTTGAGGTGGGCCGAGGTCAGGGGTTGGCGCCGTGGATGGTGCCACTGGCTGGCGGTTGGACGGGGGCGATCCAGGATGGGCCGTCCTTCGGTTCAGTTGCTCCTGCGAGCGTTTGAGCATGGCGACGAAGAGCAGATCGAACGGTGTGTATGTCACCAGCCTCTCCACTGAATCCGCCTTGCAGCTCAGTTGGGCTTGCCACTTTTATTCTTGGGTCCATCAGACTGACAGCGGCATCGGTGCTCTCAGGTTGCAGAAGCGTGTATTCAAGCCGTCATTTCAAGCCTTGGACGAGGTGGGGCCAGAAGGATCAACGCTATCGTGACTCGGTCGCAAATGTCGAAGCAGCCTTTCACTTCTCGTGGCATAATTAGAACGGCAACACGGCGCTACACTGGGCAGTGGTTGGCAACAAACTGCCGTTGGTGCGCCTTCTCTTGGAAAAGGGCGCAGATCCGGCCCGGCCCAGCAAGGTACGAGAGCACGGGAGCGAATGTGCCACTGCGCCTTGCTTTCTCGCATCCTCATCACACGAGACCTCTCATCTTGCACAAGTACAATTGGCCGGCGTTTGTGCCTAATGTTTGGCCCAAACGTGCGTTTGTCGGGTCCGGCAGAACGGAGACACGCCTGTACACTGGGCTGCGCAATTGGGCCGGGATGCTGTCTTGCAGCTGCTGATGGCCCGCTCCACACGCATGGTTGAAGTCGTGGGTCAGTCTAACAAGCAGCTTCACAGTCGATGCTCCACATGGCACCCAGCATGCGTTGGCTCATCTACTTGCGTCGGCCCAACCTCGTTTGAACTTGATGTTCATCTTCTTGCCTGTGGAACCCTTCAGGTCGTGGTGGTCAACGTGCACTGCACCGGGCAGCCCTATACGGTCACGTCCGTGCCGTCAAGCTTTTGCTTGAGGCTGGGGCTGACATTGACCCTCGCGACGAGGTGATCGCTAGCTTGCCGCTCGGAAACCCTTTGGGCTCACTCAAACGACCATAGAGCGCTGGTAGATGGTACTGACGGCTGTATATCTTCTGCATTCACAGGCGGGACGCACCCCTCTTCACCGGGCAGTACAAGCAGGCTACGAGCAGGCGACCCGAGCACTGTTGGAGGAAGGAGCTGATGTGAATGCTGCCGATGAGCGCGGGAATACGCCGGCTCACTTGGCCGCTGGGCGCGCTTACGGCGACATTATGGAAATTCTCCAAGACGCTGGGGCACAGTTAAGCCTGGAGAACCGGGCAGGCAAGACCCCACTGACAGCCAGTGAACAGGCTCCACCAACCACAGTACGTCAACCGAGTTAGCGCCAGGCTGCCTGCCTGCCCATTCTTCCGTGTGTCTGGGCCCACCTCATTGTGGTCTCTTCATGTTGTTTGGGGGGTTTGATTTGCTGCGTAGCCGTTGCGGCGCAAGCTGTCTGTTGTATAGTCCAGAGGCGCCGGCTCATCTTCCGCAAGCCGACTCCTTGTTCGCCAAGCAAAGCCATCAACGTTTTTGTCATAATGCCAAATTTGTTTTTGGGCCGACTTGGGTGCCGTTTAGGTTCCAACCCAGCAATCCACCTGTGTGACAGCCCAAATCTGTGCTTGTTCGTTATCCGTTGTGTGGCTGGCCAGCATCCATTCATACCTGCGATCGAAATCCAATCTAGCCTGTGGTGCACCACCTCAAGTTGTTTCCCGAGTTCACGGCTAAGGTTGATGACGATCATTCGCGTTATGCGCGTGTGTGTCAGGGCAGTGCACCTTATCCGGCTCAAGTGGCAACGCGGTTGGTGATCCATCAAACCAACATCCTTTTTACCAAGCAGTTCATAGAGAAGACCCAAAGCCATTCGCTCGTTGTTGTTGTTGTTGTTGTTGTTGTGTTGTTGATGTTTTTCTGATGTTTTGTGTGTGTGTGTGTGTGTGTGTGTGTGTGTGTGTGTGTGTGTGTGTGTGTGTGTGTGTGTGTGTGTGTGTGTGTGTGTGTGTGTGTGTGTGTGTGTGTGTGTGTGTGTGTGTGTGTGTGTGAGTGTGTGTGTGTGTGTGGCAGTTTGATCCTGATCAGTTTGATCCTGATCGGATTTAGCCAATCAGTCAGTGGCTTGAATTCGATCTTAACCTTGGTTGTTGGTGGCTGCCAAGGGGGCGGTGGAATCGGACACTGATAAGATGGTCGGTGGCAGGGACGGGCGCTTGCTGCGATGGATTGTGGTCTTGATTGGTGTGCTTGGCTTTGCCATGGAGACATCTGGCGCAGTGCAGTTGCCCAACATCTTCTCCGATAACATGGTGCTGCAGCACGAGAAGGGCTCGGGAAGTCTCGCCTACGTCTATGGCTGGGCCTCGCCCGGCGAACGCGTCACCGTGGCGCTCCCCCAGAGCAACTACTCTACCATTGCCGATGCCACCACGGGCAAGTGGAAGGTGACGCTCGGCCCGCTTGAGCCCACGGCTAACCCTTTTACGTTTCTTGTGAGCGGGGAAACCGGTCCCCCCGTCACGGTGGCCAACGTGACGGTCGGTGAGGTGTACCTGTGCTCAGGGCAAAGCAACATGGAATTCCCACTCAACATTGCCACCAACGGCACCTATGAAATGGCTGATGCTGTCAATTGGCCTCAGTTCCGACTCTTTCGTGTCAGCCACAACACGGCCGAGACAGAAGTCCGCAATGTCACTGGCACCTGGGCGCTCAACGCACCGGATGTAGCCGGTGCCTTTAGTGCGCTGTGCTACCTCACAGCACGCGATGTGCAGCGCCTGCGCAACAGCAGTATGCCTGTTGGTCTAGTCCAAGTTACCTGGGGAGGCACGCGCGTGGAAGCCTGGATGTCCAAGGAAGCCCTTGCTGCGTGCCCAGCAGCCCCTGCATGGGGCACCGGCTCGTCCCCGCAGAATCAGCCCACGGCCCTATGGAATGGCATGGCCGCCCCGGTTATTGAGATGACTTACCGCATGGCGCTGTGGTACCAGGGGGAGACCAATGCGCAGGGCGCCAATTCCACCGACTACTACGCTTGCATGTTTCAGAGCATGATCGCCGACTGGCGAGGTCGGGCTGGATACGGCGACCTGCCATTCCTCTACATGCAGTTGCCACCGTCCCTCTTGCCCACAGATCCCGCCAACATCACAACGGGCTACTCGGAGATCCGCCAAGCTCAGCTTTTGACGCTTCCTCACACGCGTGGGCCCTCTGACACAACTGGCATGGTCGTCGGCCTGGATCTCGGCGGCGTGTCAATGTGGGGCCCTGTGCACCCTCCTGCCAAGAACGTGATGGGACAGCGCATGGCCGCCCAAGTCTTGCACGTGGTCTACGCAGAGCAGGAACAGTGGAACGGCACTTTGCGTTTTTCTGGCCCCGTGGTCACGAATGTGCGCCGCTTGAGCAATGGTACCCTGGCTGTCATCTTTGCCGACTGGAGCGCCCAAGGCCTGTACTTCAATGGTACCCTCAACTGCACCACCTGCTGCCCCTCACCCTCCTTTGAGGTCCTGTCCCCTGACCAGAAGGGCGCGCCAAGCTGGCAGCATGTTGATGCCACCATCAGTGGAAGCACTGTGCTGCTCGCCACCTCGGGTGGCTCGGCCGTGCGATACGGGTGGCAAGATTATGTGCAATGCGCGTTGTATAACGTTGATGCCCTCCCAGCCTCGCCCTTTATCCTCAACGTTTCTACCACCGCAAAGCTCAGCTCATCGACTGCACACCACAGCTGGCGCAAAGCTGGGCTGACGCGCACGCCAACTACATCCCGCCCTTACGCCACTCCCCTCGTTCGACCACCGTAAGTGTCCCGGCTCTCGCCTCACAATCCCTTTGTTGTTCGTCGCACCAATCTCCTTTCAACACACGTTCACACGCCATGACCTTGGTTTGCATGTTCACATCATCCTATCCCGGCCAATATTACTAGGATGGGCTTTAACACATGGAACGCATATCGGTGCAACCTCGATGAGAACATTGTGCGCAGCATGGCGCAGGCCATGCAGCAGCGTGGCCTCCAAGCAGCTGGCTATACGTACGTGAACATTGATGACTGTTGGCAGGTGGCGCGCCAAGCCAACGGCACCCTCGTGCCGGACCCTGTTCGCTTTCCATCGGGCATGACCGCACTGGCCGAGGATCTGCATGCGGCAGGTTTTGGCTTTGGTGTTTACACAGCTCGAGGCACGGGAACTTGCCAGGGACGGCCCGGCAGTCTCGAACATGAGCGCATCGACGCCGCCACGTTTTGTGATTGGGACGTGGACTACGTCAAAATCGACGTGTGCGAAGGTGCACAAGATGCCAACGCCAGCTGGACCCAGTTTCACACCGGGTTTGCTGACTGCTACGCACAAAAGAATCATTCGATTGTTATGAGTGTGGAAACATGCGGTGATCCCAATGGTTGTGGAACTTGGGTGGCTGGGCTTGCCAACCTGTGGCGGACGAGCCCAGACCTCGAAGCCACCTTTGCCAGCGTCTTGGCCAACGCCTATGCCAACGATGCCATGGCTGCCGTGGCCAAACCTGGCCACTACAATGACCCAGATATGCTCGAGGTGGGCAACCCGGGTCTTGATGCCGACGAAGCTCTCTCGCACTTTGCCCTATGGTGCGTCATGTCTGCCCCGCTCCTCATTGGCACGGACTTGATACGGGCGAGCAACAACACGTTGGCCATCCTGTCCGCACCCGAGTTGATTGCGATCGATCAAGACCTGGGCTACAACAACGAACCCCAAGGTCGCCACGTGTCGGCTGCTACACCAGCAGGCACCAACGTCTCGTGTTGGCTCAAGCGCCTGGCTTCGGGCAGCTCTTACGCCTTGATTGTGGTCAATGAAGGGGAGAGTGCCGTGTCGGACGTAAAGATCGAGGTGGGTCTGTTTGATTGCTTTCAGGTTCAGCCATGTTCCGCCTCACCCGCCTTTCCTGCTGCGCGGCCACCCTAGTTTGCGAGCTTGGGCCTACCAAACAGCCAATCTGTGACTGTGCGTGATATGTGGGCTCGTAAGGATGTCGGTACCTTTGATGACAACTATACGGTTGATTCTCTGCCTCGCCACGGCTCCGCTAGCTTGTTGCTAAAGGTGTAGCCTCCTGCTGACCACCTGATATCCAGTCTTCGGGGCCAAGCTCTCCGTTGTATTATTTTTTCTTAGATAAATTCGAGGTTGTCTGTTTCTGTCAGGTTCTTTCAGGTGCTGATCTCGGGGGCCGACCAGCTTTGCATTTGAAGGCAGAGAGGGTCGTTTGTTGCATCTAGGTGTGACGGTAGCGGTCGTATGGGCCGTAAACATTGCCCTCGAGGTGGTGACGCCGATTCTGAGGCGGCTGGGCGTCCATTTGCTTTTCTTGAAGGGATTCCAGGCGCCATGCCGCATAGCGATGGAGCAAGGACCGGTTGATGACCTGAGCAGGTGTGCACAAGGCAAACAGGCGCGGCATCAGCCGAAAGCAGGCCAAGAATTCATTTGTTGGTATTCAAAGGAATCAAATGACAAATCAATAACCTTGATCACGAGAGCAATGCCCAAGACTGGCGGTAGAATAATCAGCCAGTAGTGCCAGGGCAAGTCCGGTAACACAACAGAGAGGTACTTCCAAAGCAGACAGGCGATGGGCAGGGGAGTGAAACCTGAAGACCGCAAGCCGTATCGGACGTGAGGACGAAGTGGCGCAAAGATGAAAGGCGAGACGAGACTCGAATTGTACTCCGCGCACGACAATTGCTTACCCAGACGATACTCCAGTTTCCGAGAGCGCAGAGGGGCGCTCAACTCTTGCCCCTCGACAAGGTCGCGGCAGAGCTGTGCCTCAAAGTCATGAAAGACACTGGTGGGCATGTCGTTGAACCTAAAGCGATGCATCAAACGAAAAATGAGATCCAAGACACACACACACACACACACACACACACACACACACACAAAGAATTGTTAGTCAACGCTCGTGACAACGTTGATTACCGCATCAAGAAGGTATGCTTGATTGTATCCACCACCATCTCCGAGGACATGACAAACACAATTTTATATATGAGCCAGTCGGTTAAATGGTGCACGTTCCAGTTTACCTATGAAGGCACACCATCGTGGTTGAGTGCAGCGAAACAACTTGAGACGAACAGCTGCATGAACGAGCGATCAACTGTGCAGCAATGGGATGGAAGATGGCACTCAGAGAGCGACATGCTGACCTCGGCCAGATTGCGGGTGGCAATCATGACGAGAATCATAATCAGCAGAAAGCGTTCTCGCAGATCATAGCAAATGAACTGAAAGTGACCAGTGGCATCGACCCGCTTGAAGACGGCGCCCTTGATCTCGATGAACTGGTTGGAGAGCAGGATGGCAAGCAACGAAGCATCGTGCGCGTTGATGGCCACTGAAAGCGCAATGACTTGGTACAGAATGACAAAAATATGCACAAAGAGGTAGATGAAGACACCTGCGGCCAGCAGGAGAATGTTGCGCACGTTGCTGGCTGAAAAGGTGCTTTCCAGCGCTCCACTGAGCGATAGCATAATGTCCTGCAAACAACAAACAAGATCAATGTTCAGCAATACACGAGGGGCTTTGAGGGCCCACTCAAGGATACTAACCATGCCCATGGCAGTGGCCAAGCGGTCCAAAACCTCAAACATGTTGACAATAACATAAAGCTTGACTGTACTCTGGGTTTTGATGTTGTGATAGATGTAACTGATTGGTTTGCAGAAAGATGGTGAGGAGATGGCTAGGAGGTGCAACTCCAGAATGGCGGGACCAAGACGGGGAAGAGGACATGAAGGATACCATCTCACTCACCTCAGGTCCGCCTTGGTCAGGAGCCAGCAACCGGTGATCAACAGCAGAAACTGCACCAAAGGAAAGATGTCACGTCTAGAGTCCATTCGCAATCATGTCAGCCCCAAGCGATCAGAACCAATCTGGCTCGCGTGATGGTGGGGAGAGAAAGAGAAAAGAGAACTGGGCGGTTGGCGTGCCTACCGGGCAAAGTGACCAGAAAAGATGCGGCGCGCCAACTGGCATGGCAGGACGATGCAGGCATGTAGAAGAGAGTCGAAACAAAACCAAACGCCAAAGAAGCACAACTATAGATGGATGATAGGAGCGTGAGCTAATGTCGGATGCTTTGTTCGGGCGCTGGAGCCAATCACCTAACGCTGCCACCAAGGGCTTCTTACCTGTTCCACGAGAAAACTGATCAAGACAAAACTAGGTAGATTGGGCGAGGGGGTCAAATTGTCGGGGGTTGAGGAGCTGCCTTCGGTTTCATAGTCCATTTCCTTGAACAGCCAACGCCAGAACGAGTGTTGTTGCGGCACACGCTCTCGGATGGCGGCTTGAGGTCGTGGTGAGGGGCTTCGAGTCGCGCCCCGAGACCCGGATGGGCTGTGTGGCGATCGCGGCGAAGTGACGGGTGTGGTAGCGGGTGCTAGCGAGGCAGCAAGACCTGCCAAGGAGGGCACGCCCCGCCGCACCGGCGAACTGATGCCTGGCTCAGGGCTAGGGGCAGCGAGGCCCAGGGTGAAGGAGCGCAGACCCGCACTGCTGCTTTCATAGTCGCTGGGGCTACCAGGCTCGGCCCACACTCCCTCACGAGGCAGGCGCGTCATTTCGATGGGAATGGGTCGGGAACGGCCGGTCCCCATCTCTTTGGCTGAAGCCGGCTCGGGCTCAGGCTCGGACGCTGGCTCGGACAGCGGCTCAAACTTCGGCCCAAGTGTTGCAGCGCTGCCTGCCATCTCATCAGGTGCGGGCGAGGCCGAGGCTGAGAAGTGCGTGATGCGGATATGCGTAGGTGTCGCGTTTTGTGCGGGTAGCGAACCATCTGTGTCATTCACCGATCCTGACAAAGGGTCAGACTGCTCTGTACTCGGCCGTAGTGGCGATCCCTGCCCCTGCATCGGGGCCGAGCGAGGTTGAGGCCTCACGAGCGGCTGCAGCCCTGCCTCTGACGATTTGGCTGCAGCATGTTGTCCCTCATGGTGAGGTGCATGATGTTGTTGTTGTTGCTGCTTTCGGCGGTTCTTCCGCCGCCGGGGATGTGCAGCGGACCAGCCCGTGTCCATCTCAGGCTTCCCGCTCACGTGGTCGGTCCACCACTCGTTGATGCGCTCAATAGGGTCTCAATGCCAGAGCTCACAGCAGACACTCACAAACGAACAGCGTCAACCCTGCCCGCGTCCCCCCAGCAACCGGCCAAGCTCGAGACCAAGCGGCCCAAGGAAGTCAGTCAGGCTAAGGTAGATGACCAAAGAGGGCGCCACCCACAGGCGCTGCCAGTGGATCACGGCCAACCCGTAGCTCAGCAAACCAGTTTGCTGTTGTTGCTGATGAAGAAGAAGATGAAGAAAATTCAGAGGATCATGTCGAACCAACACAACAAACCGTACCGATATCTAAACTTATTGTAGTTTTATTCGTAATGGCAACGATAGTTTATGATGGTATATGACGACTTGTTGCTGTACTGCATTTAGCATTCGCCGACGGTTCGGCTTGGCAGCTGGGCACCTCGGCACCGCGGTACGGCTGTCGCTGGCGCTCTTATCCTCATGCGCTTCGCCCGGTGGCGCTGGATAGCTGATCTCGTGCATCTTGGGCTAGGCCAAGGCTCTGGTACAGGGCGGGAGGGAGCAGGTTGGCCATCAAGAACCCTTGCTCAGAACAGGCCGCTTTGCCTGAGCTGGACGCGAGCTAGCAACGGCCATGGCCTCGTTGATGGCCAGCCTCGTGGTGCAGCGAGTACCAATGCTGGCACCCTGTCATCTGAGCGGACCGAGATTGCTTCGTTTTGCGCCTTTTAGGCACCACCCGCTGGCTGCGGCCGGCGCTTGCCGTCATTTCAATGATGTCGCTCAGGATGCTCGGCCCTGGTGTGCACGCGCGCCGGCTCGCCTGCTCCTCAGACTCCGCTACAGCTGACAGGAGCCATGCCCAGCAGAGTCTCACCAATTCGCTGGCTGCTGCGGGTTTTGAAATAGGTGGAGTCGACTTTCCACGGCCATGCGTCACTCAGGCCCTCCTGATGCCATGGCGTTCCCCACCCCATTCCATCATCACGGCACCAGCTGGTCCGATGATTACCACTGGCTTGCCCAAGCATCTAGGCCCCAGACGAAGAACCACCTTGATCTTGAGCAACGGTGAGGCAGTCCTAGAACGTCTGGTTGTTGCGTTTTGCGCTTCTCGTCTCCTGCGGCTCCGGCGCACCAGTCGCTGTTTGCGGGATCACGCCGTCGCCCACCCAAACCACTCGCTGCCTTGGGAGCCTCGTTGTCCTTTGACTTGTTCCGATTGAAAGCGTTTTTATTTATTCCTGGTTTCAAGCTGAAAGGTTTCAACTCATGTCCACAGCAACTCCGGTGTGTCTTCCAACCTTGCATGGTCCTTGCAGCTACGTCGAGGCAGCCATGTCCGACACTCAGAGTCTACAGCAGCAACTAGAGCGCGAGATCAACTTTCGCATGAGGTGGGCGTGCTGCCCGCCTTGAAATACCACCTCGGGCTGTGGACTGTGCTCTCACCACGTTCCATCTTTATTCCCGCCCTGCTCGCAGCCACGAGCCGTTCCCGCGCCCCATTCGGATTGACCCGTACTACTACTACACCACAATTGGGCAAAGAGGACAGCTGGTCAGTTCCTCGAGCGGCGATCCATGCTTTGTTTCTGCATTTGGCTCGAAGAAATTTTCCTCATATCTCAAACCGCCAACATGATCCATGCCGCACACTTGTTCTACCTTCCCCGATTTCTTGTCGTGCTAGATGCACATGCGCAAGCCCGTGGACACCCCGTTTGCAGAGGGTCAAGTCGTATTGGATACGGCTCAATTTACAGATTTGACCAAAAGCAACTGTCTGCCGGGGTGCGTACTGCTGGCCTCGTTGAATCAGCTGCCCTCCAATGGCTTGTATTTTTCGAGATCGCACCTCATGCGCGCAAGTTTTCGGTCGTTTAGGCGTCTGCTCATCTGCGAGAATCACCGACGCTTTGGCGTCATGGCCGAGCATCCGCAGCTCGAGACGTGTGACTTGTACATTTTTGACCTGGAGCCACCATCTCCTGCGGCACCGACCAATACCACCACCAAGTCGACGCTTGAGGGATTTTTCGGGGTTGCCAACGAGGAAAAGCTGCATTTGGTGGCCAAGGTCCCCAATATCGTCAATGCCGAATTCAATGCGGACGCAACAGCCGTCCTCTATACCCAACACGATGAGCGCTTGTGCGTCCGACACCGCTCCTTGACTGCGTCTTGTTGCTGTTGTTGATGATGATCATGATGTTGCTGTCTTTGCTATTGTTCGTTTCATCGTCATGTGACTTTTCTTCTTCTCTTTTCTTTTCGATCGGTTCCCTCGTGATGCGTCACTGTCCCCCAATGCTCACCTTCCCGACGCTGGGTTGGACTGGGTGACGATAGTCGGCCCTATGTGCTGCGCCAGCGCAATCTGCCGGCTTTGGACGCGCCCGCACATAGTATCGTAGGTCGCGTCGTTGAAGATGCCCTGCTTCTGACTGAGAACGACGATCGTAACTTCGTCGATATTGGCAAGACCAAGGTATGCTTGACCGATCAACTGACATGTGGTCAAGCGGTTTCTTTTTGTTTTGTATTGTTTTCATGTTCATGTACAATGCGTGGCTGACCATGACTGTGGCCCAGGACAACAAATTTTTTACCATCAACGTCAACAATAAGCGGGCATCCAAAGTCTCACTGCTGCCCACCAGAAGCGGGGCTTCATTCGATGAACTGGCAGAGGTTACGCCTCCGGGCCCATGCCACTACTTTGTTGAAGTACGCCCAGCCACACGCTTGCCTCTTGAGAGCTTTGGTGCTATGAGCGTATCGTCTGACCTTGTGTGGGACAATTTTGTCGAACGACCGGTAGCATGCGCATGGCCAGCTGTACATTATCACGGATTGGCAAGCACCCAATTATTGCGTGATGACCACCCAGGGCCCTGCTGAGCCCTGGCTTCCTTTTGTGGAGCACAAGTATGTGTTTGCCCAAAATATTTCAAACTACGGCCGACTTTGCGTTCAACTTACCCACATGCATCGGCCACGATGACTGGCAGTCCACGCATTAAGATCGATGACGCCGAAATATTTTCATCCTGCCTTGTCTTGTATGAGAGTACCGAGGTGTGTACGCTGGAATGCACACCGGCCAACGCGCCACTGCGAGTGGGCACCCTGACTTCGGTGACTGCTGGGCGTGCGCAAACGCTACACATGACAGGCATCACCTCAAATTTCCATCGTCAGTTTGCAAGATGGCTCGCGCCGGACGAAGACTTTGCCAGAGGTAGGCACAACAACTGCCATCTTGGCCACTGCTCACGTGCAAACCCCTTCACCGCACGAAATGACGTCGCCATCCCGTGGGAAAATTGCAGCCGTTTCATCTTGGTAACCTCGAACCTACCATCAATGCGGTATTTGCCTCCAAAAACCTCAATTTCAATACCAGCGACCCGCTCCACCAGCGCATTGATTGGCAGCTGAACCTAGCGGTTCGTAAAACTCGCTATGAAGACAAGCTTTTCTCAAAGCACGATGCTGGGCTAACCCTGTATGTCCTCGCTGCTTGGATACAGACGTGTGAGCTCAATCAACTGGAGCAGCATGACACACAAGATGTTGCTGGCTTTGTGGCGTCTCAGGTCTGGCAAAGCTCTTTTAGTTCGCTCAAGCGCGAAGCAGTTCCAGTGCTGGTCTCATGCTCTCTGTCCGCTCGATGACCATACAGTATGAGGTGACGCGCCTGTGGGCGCCAACGTCTGATAACTTGAGTGTCCCCATAACCATTGTGGGACGCCGAGATCAACCCCTGTCACAACCGGCCCCAACATTGGCGCTCGTCTATGGAGCATACGGCCACAACCTCGAACGCCGTTCGTGCGCATGCATGCCTCCTGCCTTTATTTCTTTCTGTGGTGCTAGCCTCTCTGGCATTGTCCCGGCCGAAACCATCATGCCGCTCACATTGAAATATCTTGGGGTCCAATTCGTACCTGCGCCTTTGCCGCTTAGGGTACAACCCCACGTGGGTCAGCTTGCTCCAGCGTGGCTTCCGTTTGGCTTATTGCCACGTGCGAGGAGGAGGAGAACTTGGCACTGCCTGGCACGAAGGCGGGATGGGCCTACACAAACGAAATACGTTTTTAGATCTCGAGGCCTGTTTGTCCTACCTCGTGAATGAGGGCATCACAACAACCGAACAGTTGGCGCTGCGTGGTGCCAGTGCCGGTGGCCTGGCTGCTGCGCATATTGTCGTGCGTCGGCCCGATATGATTAGGGCCTGTGTCTTGTCCGTCCCCTTTGTGGACGTTTTGACAACCATGTTGGACAGCACCTTGCCATTGACCCGGCACGAGTATGATGAATGGGGCAACCCTGAACTGGATCGCGGTACGTATGGCAACAAGGAATATGCATGCATGACCTGCGCTGACTGGCTAATGAATTGCTCATCTCTTTGACACTTTTCAACAGAGGCATTTGCAAACATCCGTGGCTACTGTCCCTACCACAACATCGCGGATGGTCATTTCCCAAGCTGCTACATTGTGGGTTGCCTTCACGACTCGCGAGTCAAATACTGGCAGCCCGCCAAATTTGCAGCCAAGGTGCGTTGTTTCGTGCATGTGCCCGTCATTTGACGTGAGAAGTCCTCACGATGCCCCACCTGTGACGACAGCTGCGCAAGCATCAGCTGGGACAAGATCCCATTTTGTTACATGTCGACCATGACCATCGCCATCTAAGTAGCGATGTAGCTACCGAAGCTCAAGAGCTGGCTTTTTTGTTAAGAGCACTCCAACTAGATTAACATGCAAACCTTTAACTGACTTTGAGCTGTATACTCACAGCCGGATACACCATTCGCTCACGAGCAAACTGCGTCGTTCACCTCTTTTTCGGGACTTTGAGCCTCTTTGATTTCCTACTTGACTGTCTTAGTTGACTCCTGCACCATGTGCTTAAAGCAAATCCAATCTTCGAAACGTACTGGACACCACTTGCCCAGATGACTGCTCACAAGGGCTCATGGGCCTGGCGCCGCTCAAGTCGGACCGCAGGTTGTGGATTTGCAGAATCCAACTCCAAGACCTAACAGCCCGCAAACCCTCAAGACTCTTATCAGCCAAGAGGCATGTCAAATGGTTCACCCTACTCCAGACCTGAACGCACCTCGTGATAGGTCGCCGAGGCTGTCTTCAGCTCTGGCGTGGAGTCTGCCAAAGCCAGGAGCAGAACGGTGCGGTCTGCAGGAGCCCAGTCCACGCTGAAAGCCGGTTGATTGGAGACATGCTGAATAAAATCGAGCTGAGGGGGCTGCATCTACTCGAGTAGCAGTGACTAGCATTAGAATTCACGAAAGGCGCGTAGCGGCATGTTCGGCTCAGGCGCAGCAGACCAACCCGAGCTGCAGCAATGATACTGGCGAGGCCAGCAGCCTGCAGAGCTCCTGGCCAATTGCCCACTTTGAGCGACTGCAGCAGGGCATTCAAGTAAAACCCCATGTGTTCCTCGTCCGTACCGTGACCAACTGGGGTATCTGGCGCAAGCAAACGGGCTGAGGTTGCGGGTAGCATGGGCACAACGATTGCCATGATGAGTCAACCTTGAAGAGTGGGTCAGGCAGCTGGTATTAAAGCAAAGAGTCCAAACCGATCGTACGCGGTAGATCCACGCTTGGTCGAGCTGGAGCAGACTTGTGCAAGACAAGCTGAATGCGACGCAGCAGGCGCCAGCTGGTTCCAGGACGGTTGGCGATGTAGGTGGCATGAGCGACTTGAGCAGCCACGGAGAGCTGCGAGGCGCAGACATCCGTCCAGGCTAGTCGAATAGCAACACAAATACACGCGGCTGGTCGTGAGGCGAGGTGGGAGAATCGAGGCTGCCGAGATTAAAATTGTGCTGTCTCTTTCTTACGCTCGATGGTTGATGAAGCTTCATTGTCATCAGATTCGTCGCCGTCGGAGATAAAGCCGGGACTAAGCACGGGGTAGCCGCGGGCCACCTGTTGTTGAAGATCGCGCGGCAAGCCCAGGCTTGAAATGGTTTTGGCATTTAAAGGTTCGCCTAGAGTCCTGATCCGCTCTTGCAGACAAAGATGGGTTAACGATGATGGTCCAGCTGCAGCCAAAAAAACAGCTATTGCAGCAACCAGTCACAAGAGTGCACGACAAAAAGGGTGAGGTGTAAGCCAAGGGGCAAGGATGGAGGTGTCGGAGACACTAACGTGGAGCGTTTGCCGTTTCCACGAGGTCAGCAAACATTACACTTGAGAACGCCTGCTCAGTAAAAGTGTCTTCGTCCAGGCGTAGCGTGCGAATGAGGTGGTCTTGGTGCGGCCCCACCAGGTAGCCACCGCAGTGCAGAAGCTGGCACATGCGCCTGCACGTAGATGAAGAGTGAGCGGTGAACAAGCGAAAGTATGCCCGATGTTGACATGACAGACCTGTACAGGGCATCACCCATGGCAGCTCCCACGTAGATGCGATCATAACGCCGATGGTGGTGACCGTCCTGTACGAGCTGCTTAGAGCACGATGGCATTGCCTCCCACATTAGAAACAGTCGATCTGGTCTGCGACTGCAAATCCCTGTCTGCCTGCCAATCTGTTACATGTGCTTGAACGAGCTGAACCCATCTTTGAGCAAAGCACGACAGACCTGCAGCTGATGGACGTTGCCGGTGAAAAACGTGGGGGCGGTGAAATCGGCATTTGTCTCGTGTAAGTGGGCGATGACACATTGATGTGAGAACATGACCAGCTCTTCATCCACCTCAAGACCATGGTTGAGACCGAGGTTGCCCAGTGCATGCCCTATGTTGCGTTGGTGTTGTGAGCTCGCTCCTGCTGCTGGTCACCAGAGGGAAGGCATGCTTACCCACGATGCAGCTGAGGTAACCGGTGCCACTGCCCACATTCAAGAAGCTGCAGCCTGGTGGGGATCAAGGACCGCCATCAGGTGCACTCGAGCAGCAGAACGCTTGGCGGCTGTACAAAGGATTGATTGACTCTCTTACCCGGCTCGATCTGAAGAAACGTCAGGGCCATAGCATACATATGCGGGGCGCTGTGGTGATAGGGCCCCTCCCGCACGGCTTGATCTTCGTAGGCTAACGCCTGTGGGTGAGTGGACGGTGGGAAGAAGGATGGGTATGACGATATTTGTTGCATAGGTCAGCTATGCATGGGAGTGGTGGTATTGAGATGACCGTCCCCGCACGCACTTGGAGGCTGAAGGGGAGAAAGGCAGCCCGATCGGTGTTGCGAAAGTGCTGGCTGAGGGGCTCGCCCAGCAAGTCTTCCTCCTGTTGAGAGCCATGAAAGACACGAGTCATGGAAGATACGAGTCAAGGAAGATACGAGTCAAGGAAGATACGAGAAGGAAAAACAAGGCCTTGCCTCAAGCCGGTCACGGCACGAATCAACAGCACACTGACCTCCAAAAGAGCAACCATTTCGCCATTGCTGCTCGCCATGGTCTAGGTGGCCAGTTAGCTGGAGCCCTTTCAAGGCGAGCTCAGCCAGAACGCGAAATGTTCTCGAGTGGTCCGTCCCACATCAAGCACACCCTGGCCCGCATGAGCCACCTAGGACACTCTTTCACACCATGAGGTCTCGCCCCGCTCTAAACCCCCACCCCCCCCCTTACAGCATGCGGCTGCCCTTTCACACACACACACACACCTTCAAAGATCATCTACTCAACTGCATGTCAGCCACTTCTTTCAAGAAAAAAAAAAAATAAGAGATCACACAACACACACACACACATCACATGACGAGCTCAATCATTTTTCTCTCTCGCTCTCTCTCTCTCTCTCCCTCTCTCTCTCCCTCTCTGTGTGCGAGGGGTGTCTGCGTGTGCGTGTGGGAGGGCTGCGAATGGGTTGGCAGATTCGAGGTGATTGGTAATGATGAGGCCTCTGGTTCTCTTGGGTCGGGGGTCCAGGGCTCGGGTGTGGCTGGCGTTGTGCGTGGTGGTGGTGGTGGCCAGGAGTTTGGCAAAGGCACAATGCCCCTACGCGCTGCAGGCCGGGAGCTTTGATCCCTGGGTGACCGCAGACTTTGAGCCACAGACCCCGGCGGCCAGCAATGAGTCGGACGCTCTGGTGCGTGCCAACGATGCTTTTCACGAGATCTACACCGCCTCGGGTCGAGCTGTACGCCCGACGCCGCTGATTCTGCTGGAAAACGACTATCTGGTGGTTTGGGAGAACCAGACTTTGCGGCGTGTCTTGGGCTCCATTACCCCTGACGTCTATCACGAGCTGAAGATGGTAGCACACATTCCGTTGGCTCTGTCGGTGGCGTTGCAGCCCGTGTTTGGACGCGTACCTCCAAACACGAACCCCAGCGATTTGACCCGCTACTGCCTCAATGGCACGGTTTTGGAGAATCTGCAGACGCTTCAGCAGCACTGGCTGAACTTGACCGCTGCGGGCCTGACGACGCGCTTCCAGCAGTATGGAGTTTTGAATCAGAGTCAAGTCCAGGCCCAAGTCACCATCTGGAACACGACCCTGACTCTTGCCACCACCCTCATTCAAAACAAGAGCCTTGCGCACAGCCAGCTGCAGGACTTTGCCGAACACATGGAGCCCTTGCTTATTGATAGCATCAACGTGGCGGCCGCGGGCCAAGTCGACCAGCTTCACGCTCTATTTTCCAGCTACGTTCATTCGCTGGACGAGTCGGCTCGTGAACGCTTGCTCGTGGGCGTCACCACATCGACCATGGCTCGCAACCAATCCCTGGCCGTCCAATACTTTGCACGCTATTACAACGTGGAGGGTGAGCGCAACCAGCGCTTCTACGTGATGGAGGAAGTGGAGACTGAAAGTCTGGGCCTTCAGCTTATGGCCACTCATGTCACCGACTCGGCAGCTGGTCAGCTCTTCTTTGACGACCAGTACCGCCTGTGGCGCGATGCCCTAAGCGATGGCGCTCGCGCCCGTTTGAATCAACTCTTCAACCATACGACAACCACCACTCCGACCCCCGCTTCAACCAGTGCCCCTTCAACCACGAAAGCAGCCAATAACACCACCGCCACGGCCGCCACGACCGCAACCACAGCAACAAGTCTACCTCCGAACACCACTGCCCATGCCACGACCACCGTCACAGCTGCTCCTTGTGCCAGCACCGCCCCGAGCCCCCACCCCGTGCACTGCAGCCGCAGCTGGATTGAGGGTTGTGCCGTGGGCGTTGGCAGTACCGCCGCGCTCTTCATCCTGGTTTTGCTCGCCTTCAAATGCCGCAAGGCAAAATTGGCCTCTTCCGCCGACGAACACAACCTCAAGTATGCACTCATCAACGACCAAAGCTGAAGCGTCTTACCTTGCCACGGACTGCGATAGATGCGAGGCGATGAGGCGCCAGTGTGTGTGTGTGTGTGTGTGTGTGTGTGTGTGTGTGTGTGTGTGTGTGTGTGTGTGTGTGTGTGTGTGTGTGTGTGTGTGTGTGTGTGTGGTGTGTGTGTGTGTGTGTGTGTGTGTGTGTGTGTGTTGTGTGCGTTGACTGCTTTGAACGAGATGATTGAAAATGATGACAATGTTAAAGTGTGAACAAGATCACGCATTCGCACATCCAAAAAAAAAAACTTGATTTTCATTTTTTGTGCGAAAATTTTTGATTTCCTTGGTCTCGCAGTCAACGAATCAACGGGTGCTGAGCTGGGAAAGGCGACACAGTACGAGGACGATGAAGGTAGATGTGGGTAGCCACGCGCGCGTCAAGGCGCTTGAAAAGCAGTTTGAGGAGGCGCTGAAAAAGTATTTGCAGACGCAAAAGAAGGGCGCCAAGGCCAGCAAGGAATTTGCTCTGATTGAGCACCACATGAAGCGGGTATGTGCTGCCCAACGTGCTGCTCATGGATGTTCCGCTCGTTTGATCGAGTTTCCGATTGACTCACCAACCTTGACACAACATGCCATCCGATTGATCTTCTGCCCAGGTTTGTACGCGCACCATGGGCCTTTTCAAGCAAAACGTGACGGTCAAGGGCCAGGCCTGGAACTACGAGGTCGAGTCGCTCAACGACGGTACGGGCAGCATTAATCTTGTGCCGTGCGGACATGCACGAGCCCCAATCCTCACTTGTGCCCTCCCGCACAGATGCTGAACCAGAAAGCGAGCGGCTCAAATCAGCAGCCGCGGCACTCGAGGAGCAATATGTGGGCCTGGTCGAGCGCGCTACCCAGCTCCGCCGTTCCTTGGACCGTCAGCTCCAACCCGTGGCAGAAGTAGCTGCCAAGCGTCCAAAGGTATATCCGCTGACAGCTGTTCTTTCATCAGCTCTCACTGCGACAGGGGAGCTTGTAACTAACCGCGGCGTCCTTTGCCCATAGATTGACGAGCACTCTGCCTCGACAGGAGCGGCAGGGCCTTTGTCCGTAAAGGCCGGTAAGTGTCTCTGTGTGGCTCTCTCTCTCTCTCTCTCTCTCTCTCTCTCTCTCTCTCTCTCTCTCTCTCTCTCTCTCTCTCTCTCTCTCTCTCTCTCTCTCTCTCTCTCTCTCTCTCTCTCTCTCTCTCTCTCTCTCTCTCTCTCTCTCTCTCTCTCTCTCTCTCTCTCTCTCTCTCTCTCTCTCTCTCTCTCTGAGAACGATAGCTCAAACTGACATTGTTCTCAGACTTGAAGCCAAATTCACCACGCGCCTTTGCGGGGCGAATGTTGGGCATGTGGCTCTCCTCACTCACTCTTTCTTTTTCTGGGGTAGACCAATTGGATGCCGAGTCTCGCGAACAACTGCAGACCGTTTTTTCGCGACTCAAACGCTTACAGGAGGTATGTGCCCTGCACAACAGGTTGCTTTCCTTGCCTGCGCCCCCATGCAATCGTACGCGACGTTGCCTTGCCTTGTCTTCTGTTTGTTTGCTTTTCTCAAAGCGGTACGTCCTGGCCGCGCTTGTGACGACAGGCATTGGATGTTACTTCGACTGAAGCCGACAATTTGCAGCGCGTGTGTGAAACACTGGTGAGTCCCTCGCTGAAAATTCAACGTAAACTCTCGCACAAATCTGGCCTCATCCATGCCCTCCCCCCCTCCCCCCCTACCCTCGGCTGGCTGTCTACAGCAAACAGATACAGGAGCCAACTAGCCGAGATCGATGGATCGCAGAGCCAAGCTCTATTTCTGGAAAATGGCCCCCATCCACGCAGGCCATGTGTGTTTAATAGTGTCACGTCTTTGAATGTCTTCATGAGTCCTTTCACCGCTCCTCTTCGCCCCGCATTGACGAGCCAAAGAAGCGGCTGAACGTCTAAAATTTAGCTGCAGAAAGCCTTTCTCCCCTTGGCCTTTGAAGCCACTTCATGCCCACGCATACACACCCTGTCTCACGCACTCCTACCCCTTGACTCGAGCAGCAACCATCCCGCAGGCAGCGCCCTGTCCTGCTGCACCCACGCACACCTCGTCTGGTCTGATCTGCACTGCACCCTGGCTGTGACGTTGTAAAGTTATTGTAGAACATTTAGAGGTTATTGTTGACTCATTCATCCCATCTTTGTAAGATCATGACGTTAAAATTTGAGTATCTGCAGTTGTTATTGTGTATGATGCAGGAATGACCGTGCCGTTCAAGTCGTAATACAACTAGTAGTTGAAGCAACGTTAATGTATCCCGTGCTAGAAGTTGAAGCAATTTTCAAAGTTATTGCTGTTATTGTCACTGCCGTCGTCGGTTGTTGTTGTTGTTGTTGTTGTTCCGTGACCGCGCTGCTCGCACAGTTCACGCCCGCACTGGCTCTGCGCTCGACCCCCTGGCCATTGAGGTGCTTTTTTGCTGCGCTCTTTCGCTGGACGTTGGAGACGCTTGATACAGTGCCGGTAGTGCCTGGCCAAGCTCTGGTGTTTTCGTCGACAGTGGCAACCCCCGTCGACGCGGGTGCAGCCCAAGCCTCCAGGAAGAAGCCGGGCTTGGAAGTGCTCACTGCCCCTGTCCGTCTTCATGGGGCCCCGCCAGCTGTACACCACGTTGCGCTGGCCAAACTAGGCACACATCAAGGGACGTCCTTGTTCAGAGACTGGCTCCACAAGCCATTGCCATGGGCGATGGAGGCGAAGCCTTGGCCTGCGTGGCGGTGGCCCAGCTGCTGGATCGCGGCCTGGTTTCGCTCGGCACAGCCAGTGGCGCATGGGCTCTGGCCCAACAAGATCCTGCCTTTGCCACCCGTCTAGCCGTCGTGCTTGCGATTCAGTATTTGCAGCCTTACGATGTCACGTGCCGGGATCTGCTGCTGCCCGAAGCCGTGAGCCGCGTCATCAAGCGCCCGTCATCGTTGGACCGAAGCAACCCAGACGAAGGTCCCTCGCCACCCGCCCAGGCCGGTGCGCTCGCAACCAACCCTGCCCTTGAAAACGACAGCGACATGCCCGCACGTTTGCAAATTCTGCAGTCTTTGTACGTGCTTCTCTGCCTCGCCCGGATTCAACATTCCGCGCCCTTGGTCAAACATGTTTTTCTTTACTGGACCCAGCTTCGCATGGGGGCCATTGACATGCTCTATGAGCTCGAGGCCCATGTTCTTAAACGCTTCTCTGTCGAGTACTCGGCCCAACAAGCGCTGCGCGATCTTGGTGTTGCTACGCAGCAGCCCATGGATGCCATCAAGCATGATCTGCTGCTTTTGCAAGTGCACTTGGCCGCTGCTAAAGGGCGCCTCGCCCCGCTGGAGCTGCGACGCACCCTTCTCCAGCTGCTGACGGTTCCCGCACGTCATCCCGGCAGCATTGTTCACGAAGACGTGGTGATCAGCATGTTGACCACGGGCCACACCCTCTTTGCCCAAGCCACTGCCTGCCACCATCCGAGCACAATGACGGGGGCTTTACGTACACTGCGTGAGCTGTCCCATCATTGCACCACCTCCTGGGCCAGCCTGTGTTTTGACCATGCCTGGCGAACCTTTCACCGCCACGTCTACGCACCGGGACTTCCTGCGGCTCTCTCCCGTTTTCATGCTCGCTACTTGGTCGTGCTGGACCGAGCCTACGCGCCGTCCGGGCTCTTGACCGAGGACTGGACTGCCGTGCTGACCAAGACGCTGCGACTTGGACGCCAGCCCAAAATTATTCGCATGCGTGCCTGTATCATGACCATCCTTCGTGCCTACTTGGGTGATTCTTCCCAAGCCCGGCTCTTGTGCCGTGCGCTCCACCGCGCACCAGGCCCGCGCCTCGAAGCGGCCATTAACCGCCTCACGGCTCTCTGGTACGCACAGCTCCCCATTGGTGTGCCATGCCTTCACCCACAACACCTGAGTAATGTCTGGCCTGCTGCCACGTGCCGCCCCCAATCGTAGGAAGCAAATTGCTGCGCTTGAGGAAGAGGTGGCTTTAAAGCGCGTCCGGCAAGTCCTCACAGCCATCCTGTCGGATCTCCTGCCTGAACCCGAACTGCCAGAGCGTGACCTTCCCGGTATGTCAGGATGCCTTGCCCGGGAGACGGTCGAGACAAGCTGCTCAGGGCTTCAAATCGCGCAGTTTTGCTGGCCCGTCGTTTTACCATCTCCATCACGCGCGGGCACACCACTGATATGACCTGCTTCCATCCGTGGCTTGCATTCCCTTTCCAGACTTGTCGCCACTGGCCCTCCTCCCCGAGCTTACCGTGCTGACCATCGACTCGTCGCGCGCTGAGGATTATATATTTCAGAGTCGATCGCCATCGGTTGATACCTTGGCACATGGCGAGCTTGTTGCGGGCCTTGAGCAGTTTATGGTGCAGGGCTCACCCCCGGTGGAGCTGCCCACCACTCGTGAATTGCATGTGGTGGCTGTGGGCGGCGATGCGCTGGTTCTTACCTGCCTGCAAGCGTGTACGCTCGTTGAGGACAACATGCGCTCGCATGCAGGCCATGCGCCTACACGCTTCCTTCTTCATGTTCTTCCTGCTGGCGTCGATCTCATCCAGGCGCAGCTACAGTCTAACGGCCCCGAGTCCACGCAATCGCGCGTGGCTGAGCGCGCCAAGTCCAGCGCCATGGTGATCGAAGCCACGCCGAAACGACGCAGCCGACGCAAGAGCTGGCAAGGCGAGGACTGGCAGACAGGCATGCAAGTGGATCTCGCCCGCCCTGGGGCATTCTCTCCTGCAGACACCCCCCGTCGTGAGCGCTCGCTGACCGTCTCTCGCGATGGCCTTCCCAATTCTCTTCGCCTGACGACTTCGGCTGGCGCAGGCCTGAGTGCCGGAGCCACCCCCATCTCAGTCGTGGACGCACCAGCTGACGTGGCCGCCCACCCCCTTCCCGCTCCCACCCCTTTGCGTGCGGTGGCCAAAACGCCGGCATCTCCGGGGCACAAGGTGACCGGCGTAGCCGCTTTTGCCACTTTTCCCGACGGCGCGAAAACAGACCAGGCGCCTGCTCGAATTGCAACCGGCGACGATGATTCGGATGATGATGCTGACAACTCAGCACTGGGCCTTGTCGCACGTCCACAGGAGAACGTGGCTCAGCAAGCCCAGGACAGTGCCTATGCAGCAACCTCGGCGCCATTGCGGCGTGCAAATACTCGTGATCGGTCAGCTCAGTTCCCGGATATCTCTGAAGAAACGGACGACGCTGACCTTGATGCCGAATTTGCGCTGCTTCGCTCCGCTCCGGTGCCATCCCCACCACCCGCCACGCCAAAGGTGCAAACCGCGGTCAATGGGCCACGGCCTCGCATTCGCAATAGCGCCCGATTCTCCGTTACCAGCATGAGCTCAATCACACCGCTTTGGTGGGCGGAGACCGGTGGTTGGAATTCTGGCGCCTATCGACCACCCCCTTCAACGTCAACGACCCCAGAGCGTGCTCCGAGCCCCGAAGCTGAGGCCAGTGCTGCGAGTCCCACGCACCTGCCCGCCGAGACCCTCGCACCATCACCGCGTGCTCCCGCGATGGAGCGTGGACTTGCCGTTCAGATGGACAAATGCTCAAAGCTGGATGTGCTGCGAGCGTTTGGATGCGCCAATCCAGCTTTTCGTCGCCATGCCATCCGTGCCCCAAGCTACATCTTTGCGCTGCTCAACGTGTTGGCCCGCCACAGCAGTCCGCATTCATCTGCACCCTCTGATCGTGTCAGTCGGCCATCCTTGAGTCCTCTAGCCCAAGCTCTGCTCAAGCAGGTGGAGCATGCCGCGCCCGGGTCAACGCTCGATGCCGTGGCTAATTTGGCCTCTGGCACCCTTTTGGGACCTGCAGCCCTGAGTAGCCACTTGGATGCCAATCGGTCCCCGCCTGCTTCAAAAACGCCAAAGGAGCGTGGCCACCAACCATCGAGCGCGGGCCGGCGACCAGGCCTGGCCGACCCGTCAGGAAGCGCGACTGCCAGCTCTGGTGTCGATGGAATGCATGAGCTCTTGCTCCATGCCTTGGAAATTGCATGCTTTGCTTTTCCATACTTGCGAATGCGGCTGCCAGTGTTTCAACTTGAAGTAGTCTTGAGGCCTGATGTGTCGGTGAGTGCGGCCGAGCCCAGCGGGCGCGTGGGCCGCTTGACCACCCGTCAAACAGCGCAGCACGTCAACGCAGTTGAGCCGCTAGCACTACACAACGAGCGTCGGGTGCACACTTTGTTGTTCACTTCCGGGGTGCAGATCCAGCAAACTGAGCACCCTCTGCAGCTGTACTTTGCCCAGCGGGACGCTTTGGGCGTCGCTCGAGTACGCTACACGCAACAGCATTGCTTTTACGAACATTTGCAAATCCACCGCGAGCTTGAGGCATCACCGGCTATTTTCCACAGCGGAGAAGCACCCGTCTCGCAGCTGTTTCTGTCAATGCGTTTGCGTGAGCACAAGGCTCAGCGGCGCGTCCAAGTGTACAGCTGTCATGTAGAAGCTGATCCACGCCATCCCTTTAACGTGCAGGTCGACCACCTGACCCTGACAAACGTCGTACAAATGCGCATCACGCCCGGTGTGTCCTGCATCACCTAGCTAGAGCAGATTGATCGAGCTTTGAGGAGTCTTAAACTAATCCAAGTTGAATTTTTGAACAAAGCTAGCTTTCAATACCAGCAACACAACGTACATAACGTACGCACACACTCACACACACACACAAGGAAAAAAGAAGGAGAAGAAGAGAAACACACACAAGTGCGCGCACACACACACAAAAGCAGAGTCACATACAAGCACAGCACAGCTTCTCATCGCCTGCAGCGGCGCCTGGCAGTGGAACCGGTGAGATCATCCCCGTGTGTTTGTGGAGCTTTGCAAAGGCGAATTATCCGACAGTGAAGCATCACTTGTATTGGGCCGCAAATTTCACCAAATCTGAGAAAGCGATTGGCAAAAGGAAGGAAGGTCAATGCATTCATGAGTGGTTCAGCTGTGGGGATGCGACAAGCAAACTTTTGGATGCGGTGCACAAGGAAGAGGAGAACTGAAGGCGGGGGAAGCTAAATGCGCCTCGCACCTTCGTAAACGATTTGACCATCTGCAGTGGTCTCCGGTACACGCATCATTTCCTCAATCTCATACATTTGGAAGCGCTCGCCAAGGTTGTGCATGACGGTGCGAAACTCGGTGGCGTCGATAGAGCCCTTGCCCTCGCTGAAAACGGGCGGCATAACGACCATGAGTGCCTGGGCGCGAGCTGTCGCGCTGAGGGCCAGTGGGCGCCATCTCGGGCAAAGCATGAACGCAAAACGCACGGGTCAAACATGGCAAACGCATCACGCAAGGTTTGAACCGGATCTTCGTGCAGCTTCTGCGTGGCCAAGTAATTGGCCACATCATCCAGAGTAAACGTGGTTTTGTCTACGTTCGATCAGTCAGTGAGCCACCCACTGTCAGATTTGGCAAAGCAGAGCCTGCGGTGCAGGGGAACACGAGACATCAGCAGCAGACAGCGAGTGACCATCAACGTACTACCACAGTGAGCGAGCACCTCTTCCTCGCTGGGGTTGGCACCCACGATGCGCACCACCTGGGGTGAGAAGAACAGTTGATGGCCGCAAGATGAGCAAAGCCAACATGAGCGCCCGACGCGAGAGGAATCGAGCAAAAGATCCAATTTGGCCCGACACGAGGAGACTCATCATACTTCGCCAAATGATGCGGCAGAGAGCTGGCCCGGGCTGCTCTCGTGCAGCTGAAAGGCCTCAGCCAAAACTGTTGGTACAGGCACGCATGCACAGTTAGTTGGTATTGAGATGACACTGCACCAAGCCAGTTAGTCGATGAGGAGCGAGGACGCGCGTGGCCATGGCATGCACACCCACCGGCACGATCTTCTGCGCTCAAGCTCATGATGAAGGCCGGAGGGGGTGGGGTGGTCCAGCAGTGCTGCGAGTCACAGTAGACAGGGAAGCGGTCAATCAATCAATGGCCCAGCAGGAATTCATCCCATTGCCATCAAAAGCCCAAGCAGTCAAAGCCAAGAAATTCCCACCCATGGCCTTGACCAATACCAATTCAATCGCAGTAGCAATTGCTGCCTGCTCTCCCATCCGCCACCGCCCCCACCACCCCTCTCTTCCCCCTTTTCCCACCCTGACCGGCCCGATGTGATCCCTCACATACCAAACAAAAAATGGTTGTAAAAAATAAAAAATAAAAAATAAAAAAAAGTGTGAGATGGAGAGACGAGAGAGAGAGAGAGAGAGAGAGAGAGAGAAGGGGGCGTAGTGCAAAACAACCAAACAAAACAACAGTGACAACGATCAAGGAAGAAAATTGAATTTGATGGCTTTTTTTGTTTTTGTTGTTTTGCGAGTGGGGAGGGATGATGTCGAGAGGTGGTGGGTGTGCTTCGCAAGGCAGTGAGGGCATGCAATAGAGAGTCGGAGAATCGCTTTGATAAATTGATGCCAAGCAGATTTTTAAAAGGAGTAGTGGGGTAAGAAAAAGAAAAAAGACGCAGCGCCACAGAAATGAGAACAAAACGGTGACCCGGCCATGAAGAACGAGAATAAACAACACCACACTCGGCAAGGAAAACAAAACGGAGGGCTGCTGGGTCGCCGATGGCTGATGCTGGCGATGAAACAGAAGGGTACGGCACAAAGACGACGAGATTTGAGCATCACGATACGACATGCCAATGGAGGCCAGGCGCAACCCATTCATAGCCACACTGTCCCATCAAAGCACGCCAAGAGAAATACAGTGAACTTCCTCGCCGCAATGTTCACGACCCAAAAAAAAGGCACGAAACCTATTACTGCAGGAGCTGAGCGACCTCTGACGTGTCAAGCCCAAGGACGAGGTTGCGCACAAAGCACATTTCCTTTTTGGTGTTGTTGAAAATGACCATGGGGTCATCGGAGGGACACCGCAGATAGTTTGGGGCCCATACCATGGCCAAGTTGTCGTGGCTCATCTTGGTGTATGCCTGGTTTTCCTGTTGACCGATTTCCTGCACAGAGTGGAAGTTGAAGGCGGGTGAGTCGGTGCGGCCGACATGAAAAGGTAACGACCGTGGTTTGTCCTCGAAGATGCCGGGATTCGGTATCGGTATGCTGCACGCTGCGATGCTTACCTGGAGAAAGCGCGTGATGACCAGCACTAGAGTGCGGTTCACAGGAGGCAGCTTGTCAACCACCGCCACTGAAGCCGCCGTATCATTGCTTGACTGGCGGGTGTACAAGGAAAAGGGGGCTCGGTGAGTAGCCGCGCGATTTGAGGGCAAGTTTCAGAGAGCGCAGGAACGGGGGATGGCGGATGGCAGGTACCATAACGACACAAACAACGTACGGCAATGCATTCCTCGTACAACTCAGCCGGGATGACGGGCTCGGCCAGTTCCCGAAACCAGAGCTTGATGGCCGAGGCCGGCACGTGGGGGTCGGGCAGTTCTCCCACCCCCTGCTGTTTGTCCATCCGCAACTTGAGTGCATTGACGGCATCAATGTCACCAGGGACACGAAAGATGCCCTCGGTCCGGGCTCCGCCTTCGCGCAAAACGGCCTGGCAGAGCTCACGAACGACGAGTGGGATGGGCAGATCTGGGTGGGAGATTTCTTGCATGTCCATAATCTCCGCCAGGGTTGAGCCATACACCGACGGGTTGGTCACACGCTGAATGGCGTTTGCCACCTCGTCCTGGTTGGGAGCTTGTTGGCCTTGGCGCCGACCTTGCGCCGCAATGCGGTCGAGGCGGCGAAAGGCCTGCTCGGCCAAGCTGCCAATCGTGCCCGCCCCCATCTCCGTGTGACGGGCAATGTAGCCCCGCAAATAGGATTCAAACATCTTGGTGGGCGGGAAAAAGTTGAGCACGACAATCAGAAGCTGCCAGCCCTTTTCGCAGCTAGCAAGCTTGTTGTTCTCGGTGGTCTGCTTACACAGCTGCAAGAAGAGCTCGTCACGCAGCCGGACCACCTCCCAGCAAGCGTCGACCACTTCAAGCGCAAGCGATTCAGGTGTTTTGCCCTTGGCCGAGCGATCACCCATAAACTGCTGGACGAGCTTGAAAATCTCGAGCGCAGTTTTGCGATGTTCCTTGCCTAGGTTCAAGAGCATGGGGCGCGGGATGCATTCACGGCTCCAGGAGAGCATGTTGTGAAGGGAGACCTTGCGGCGGAAAAAGCCGCGCTTGTGGGTGGCCAAATCATCCTTGAGCTCATGCAGGTGCGGAGTGGAGGACGCTACTTCGTCATAATTACCACGGGGCACGGCCGGGGCTGCGGATACTGTGGCGCCAGGACCCATGGGCGCCGTCAGATTGGGGGCCGGGCCAGGTGCTGCCGGCGCCGAGGGAGAAGTTGTGGAGGCCTGCAATGACGGTGCACCGGATTCGGGTCGTGCCTGCGGCTGTGGCTGTGACTGTGACTGGGTCCGGACCGGTTGTTGCTGTGGTGCGGTCTGCTGCGGCTGGGTCTGCTGCGGTAGCTGATGCTGGGGCTGGGACTGGGATGCTCGGGGTTGTGCTTGAGGCTGTGATTGCTGTTGTTCGGGAGCCGGACCACTGCCGTTCATCATGGCCTTTTGCGCCTCTTGGAGACGTGCGAGGGAGACAATGTCCCCTGATGTGGGGCGATTCCAAACCGTCTTTCGAGTGGTGGCATTGTAATAGTATGGGCGGCTACTGCCCTGATCAATCAGCTCCCACCACTGGTCATCTCCTGCTGGCTTGCTGCGAGCAGGGCGCAAAAAGCAATATCGGTGAGGCATGACCGCGAATGACCTGCAAGCTGATCCGGTTGTGACGATGCCAAGGGAGGCTGGGGCCATGGCCTGGGTGCGCATGCCCAACGTACAAATCGGTGTTGGGAGGCGGGCTCCAGAGGCAATCACCGGTGTCTGTGTTGGCATAAACGGGCTTGCCGCTCCCGGGCTCGATAATCTCGACCCAAGGCGACCTGCAAGGTGATGCATGGCAAGACAAATCGATTCAGTCCAAAGCCGCAAGGGGGTTTGGCAAAGGACACAAGATAGCCGGACACGGTCGCACAAACAAGGGCGTGGACAGGATTTCTGTCACACCGGGACACTACCACGGAAAGAGAGCCAAGTCAGCGACCACGTACGCAGACATGATATCGGGATCAAAAAAGAAGAAAAAAAAAAAAAGGACAGGTGGCGGCAATGGCGGCAATGGCGGCGGCAAGACGGGGGCGCCTAGCCGCAATGGCCACGCACGAGCTGGCTACACGCTTGAGCAAGAATCGATAGCCCAACCTGATCAAGACAACACAATTACACCCAGGGTCAGTCACTCTGGGACAATCAGGGATCGGGAGTGGAGTGGGCGCTCCTCGCTTCGGGTCAAGCGCTCTGACGGAACGAGCGTTCTGCTGTGGCCCGCCCTCTCACAAGGCACGGAAAGGGAGCAGATACAGGCAGATACAAGTCCCTCGCACACACGCCAGCACGGCCCTTCTTCAGTTTGTGGCTGTACAAATACACGCACAGGCTCACGTGCACAGGCGCACGCACCTTGGCCAGGAGAAAAGGTGCCGGGTTTGTGGGCGGGGAGGGGGAAGGCTTTGAGGTAGATGGGCGGATGGCAATGCAGCCGCTCAACCGATGCTAACAGCAGCGCTGGCCAGCTGCGTTCTCGTCCAGCCCCTTCTGCTTGACGCACAGATTTTCCGATTTATGATGCGTTCAGTGGTTCGATCCGCTGCAGTACCCTGTACCTGGCCAGCGTCACGCCCCTCACGCTGCCGTTTCTCTCCTGATTTCCCAACAGAGAGAGAGAGAGCGCGCGCGAGAGAGAGCGAGAGAGAGAAGAGAACCAAAAGAGCGCCAAGTGGGAGTTACCAATTGTAAGTGTTTTAGTACAGTTGGTAACACCAGCTTCACAGGGTCCAGGTTGGCTTCCTACTCTCTCCTCAAAGCTCTCTCTCTCTCTCTCCCTTTCTCTCTCTCTTTCTCTCTCTCCATGTTTTTTGCCTGCAAGCGATTTACTGCGTTGGAATGTACCTTAATATGTTGTTCAGCGGGATAGTTCGGTCACCTCCTTGAAAGTAACATATGTATTCCCTTTTTGTAACAACATATTGCTCTTGGGATTGAGGCAGGTGCGATTAATTGGCAGTCAGTATTTCGGGTCGTGCTCGGCGATTCTGTCTGCTGTGCGTTTCAAATCAAGCACAGCAGAAGCGCTAAATTTTTGCGGATCAAACGAGGGTGCTCTTGTGTTCATACGCTTCCTGTGGATGCCATAGCAGCCCAAAGACCAGAAAATCATTTATTTTGAAATAAATCCCATTTCTTTTCCATACGAAACTTATTTGGCTTTGACTCTCTAGGGCTACATGGCTCTGATTGGTATGTCAAATGGCAGCGCCATAAGACGAGTCAGCGAAGCAATGAGACAACTTGGTGGGTAGAAGCAGATGGACAAGACAAGTTCCGATTGATCAATGGTCATTCAAGGTTTATTTCGATTGACAAACGCCCGGGACGATTTTTTTTTCTAAACACTTAGTAAGCAAGCTGTTTCCTCATTGGGTGGACTTAGACGATTTTCTCTTCTTGGGATGTGGTTGCCACTGCGCCACTCGTGCAAGGTGTGTTCGACGTGGAGACCGAGTTTGGACGATTGATGGGGAAGAGCTACGGTCCACAGCGGCGCTTGAGGCTTCTCGTGTTCGCGCCTCGGTACTTGCATGTGATGTCTCTGATGCCGCCGTAGACGGCGTGTG